ATGCCAGTTTGCCGTGGCCCGCCTGTGGCTCTGCCCCCCGAGAATATAGAAAGTGCCACCCTGGTCCCTCCCCTGGTTTTTGTTAATAATTACTGAATGCGGCCAGCTGCCCTGAGGGCAATACCCTCGGTATCCCATTAAGCAGCGGGTCCGTTTGTCTAGCTCAGCACCCACTAACGCCTGCACCTCGAGGACGTATTCTTTCGCAGCTGTTTGGGGCTGTGCCGGCACAATGGGACAGCGCCGCAGCCAAAGTGCCATGCCGCAATGGTTCGTAAATCACAGCCCCTGTAGCAGCAGGTGAGGCGGGACACGTCAGGAAGCTTGTCAGCTGTTTGGGCTGCTTTGTCCAGACCACATTAATCCAGCTGAGCAGGGGCCGGAATCTCCACTGCACAGCGCTGAGCTCCAGGAGCGGCACCAGGAGTGGAAGGCGGGGTGCAGGAGGCCCCTCTGCCCTGCCTCCGAGACTCCTGGGGGTCCCAAGCGCCACCCACCCTCATCACTGACCCCACAAGCTTCAGCGCTCCCTCCCCTTCCCCAGCACGAGCCCCCCCTGCTGCTCCCACCGCCTCCAGCTCTAGCACGTTATTCTGCCCCTGGGGTTCCTGGGCCAATTCCATCCACCACTCCCCCTGCCCCCAGGAGGGCTGGCCAGACGATGAGCACAGATTTTACTTCTCCTACACCCTCTCCGGGCAGGACATGCGGCCAGCAGCCCTGGGCTGGCCCCGGTGGGAAATGTACTTCCCGCGTGAAGTACCAGAGAAAGCACAGGGCTAAAGTCCCTCCCCTGCAGGGACTACTTCTGTTTATTAAGTGTGTTCTATTAAAAAAAACCCCAAACATGGCTAGTTAACAGGTTCCCACACAGAGAGAAACAGCACGTGCGGCAGCAGGACTGTTGCACTGCTGCCCTGACAATATCCCGAGGGAAAGTCTTCTCTGGAGACTGACAGAAGCTGAGCAGCAGTGACCCCACTTATCAGCTGCCGGAGCGTTCTTCTCCATTTCCGTCAGAGCAACGTCCACCTGCAGTCAGGCTGAGCTAGGTTTTCAAGCTGTGCCATGAAATGCTCAGTGAGGACTATGTGAAACTCACTGCAGCTTCACCACCTTGCTCCCTCAGTGCTGTTTCTCAATCAAAATACTTCACGCCGTCTATTCAAGAAGAAATAATTTTATTGTTTCCATCTGACAGGTTTCACCGTGAGCGACAAGGACAGCTTGCTAGACAGTCTCTCTCATGATTTTGGTGAGTTTCTGGATCTTTGACCTTGTTGACATGTCCACGTACTTCTCCCCGATATTGACAATCATGCCACCAAGGATTGACGGATCAGTCTAAAGAAGAAATATTGAACAGAAAATCTATTAGCAAAAATTTGTTAGCCTAGTATACAATTTTTACACTAGTAAAAAAAAAAAAGCTTTTAAAAGAGCCTTAAGATAACTTTGCAGTCACTGTATTCCAAAGTTAAAGTTTTAGTGATTAAAGCATCATCAGATCTACAAGAAAGCACGGAACTATGTAATATAGCAACTGGGGTCAGTAAAATGATTTTTTTTTTTTAAAAAGATAAGAGAGGCAGAAGCCCAGCTTAACATGAACTTGATGAGATTTATTTACAAATCATAAAATCCAGACCTTGGTCTCCAGCTTTAAGACCTCTCCCTTGGCCAAGAATCCACTCAGAGCACTTTTTAGCTCAGTAAGGTTGGCATCATCCAAGGGCTGAAAAATATGAACAGAAGGAAAATGAAGGACTTGAAAATATTCAAATGATGTAACGAGAACCCTAATTTTCTATTCAGATTCCTCTAAAGACAGACAATTCCACCAGGAAGGCAGATTAAGCAGCCTTCTTAATCTGAATATTGGGAATACCCAAAGGACAGCACAGAAACAGCAGTCACTTTGTGCCCTCCTGATTTCATGAAACATTGTGTTATTTGTGCACATATTCCCAGCAAAAGTTCGATGCTGACATCTTCAGATGGCAAGTGTGAGGAATCCATACTTGCCGAAGTAAGCACTTGATGGAAAACCTCGAGATCTGCCTCACAGCAGCGTTCAGGCTGTACAAGGAAAGATTAATTTTGCTGCTTCTAACAATTAAGATCATCAGCTTGAGAAGAAACTCAGTTTCATGTAAAGCACTGGGCAGTGACTGAGGGAGGACACCGGCGGCGAGCTCCCAGCCTGCTGCAGGCTTGCAGAATGCTCCTGGCTATAAGTACACCTCCCTCCATCACCACGGAAGAACTCTGCATCCCTGTGGGAGAGACACTGTGAATTTGTCCTTGCTACCCCTACAAGTCGCTTGGATGCCACCGAGATAGAAACAAAAGGGACTTCACCGAAGAGTAGAGGCTTTGTGTTACTGGCAATTTAAGTAATTTCTATTTAACAGCCAAAAGAAACTACCAACAACAAAAAAGCAACAGGAAAGTAACTCTACGTATGAAATATTTAGGAAAACTTGCAGAAAGGTTTGCACAGGCTTGTGAGTCCGCACGTCCCTGAAGGCTACCAACTAGACTGACAAAATCTGTGCTCACGGCCTACAGGGAGCCAGTTAATCTGAAGCGGGTCAGTCTCTTTATTTACTCCAGGTGGGTAGGGCTACAGTGAACTGCCTAAGTGCTACGCACTGACATGACATACCTAGCTGACCAGCTTCCCGCTCTAACAGACCTGGGCACGGATCCATTAACGAAGAAGTTACTGCAGTGCCAGAACCACCGTGCCTCCAGCCTGACGTTTACAGCTCATGGAGACACCATCTTCCCTCTCACCTTCCTGAGCACCAGCCAGACTTGCCTGTCCACTACTTCTGGAAAAGCCTTCCTACAGTTTCAGAGTTAGCCACTTGTCCCGATTAATGCGGGTGGTGAATTAGGTAGCTGCTCCCCGCGAAGCACAGCACCAAGCACCACAGGCATTCTCAATCCTATCAGGTATCTGCCTTGCTCTAGCTAATAGCTCACCTGTTAGTTCTGACCTGATCTGTACGATCCTGATGACAGAAATAAGAACAGGGGCAGCTGTACCTACAGACCAGGCTGACTTTTATCAGCCACTGGGTTCACACACTGGAAGGAAAGATGTTACCTGTTAAGCTGAAGCGGAAGGAACAGGTTTAATTTTTGACCAATAACTGTCGGATATCAAAAATCTATTTGCAGAAAGACTTTCATCTTGGCAGAGGCGAGATATTTCCTCCCTACTCATATAGCAGGTACTTAAACTACAGAGCGCAAAATTAAGCTAAGGAAGTTTGCCTTTTATACCGCTACCTGTTAAGCTCGATCTAGAGGTACCTAACTCACCTGTGCGGTGGTGATGGTGCACAGCACTTCTCCTCGGTATGCGCTCATGATCTTCCCGAACGCAGAAACAATGCCTGGAGTGTAACGCAAGCGACCGTTTTCTGCAAGCAAATCTGGAAGAGGTAGACATATCGCTTTAAAGCACCCACTAGAAGCAGATTTGTTTAGCTACCAGTAAAAACAAGTAGCCTCAGACGTTTTTCAGGATTCACATGGTTACTCACTCATCAGGTTGACAGTAACAGGGGACATCTTCTCTTTTGCCAAAGCATCATTCACAGCTTTTTGTTTAACTGCGCTCTTGGTATGAGGGTTCATAACAACACTGGACAGCTTGGGGTCTTTCAGAAGAGTCTAAGAGAATACACAGACATGGTAAAGACCAGGAGTTTTCCAGGCATCACAAGGCCTAACTGGACTACCCAAAGCAGGGAACATGGCTGTTCACTGAGCACGAATAAAGGGGTCAGAAGGAGATGGGAAGCGAAATGGTAGCTCCAGGTATAGCTCATTTACAGTAGGTTTCTTTTAGAGCTGATGCTCCTCCTGCCTCCCGTATCGCTTCCAAGCAGCTTAACAGTGGGGGCGCAGCGCAGACAGCGGGCATACCCGGCCAGCTGTACCTGGGAGTCCCACAGCGTGCAAGAGCCGGGCCCACCTCCCTCCTAACAAGAAGCAGCAGGCGAGCCCCACCGCCCCCAAACCCTAAGGCGAGCTTAGGCAAACGCGGGCTGGAGAATACCTTACCCATACTCGGCTCAGCTCCTTCTCTACCTGCTCCAGCTTCTTCTGCTTGGTGGCGGCAGAGTACAGCGCGGTGGCATAGCGCCCTTCCAGCCCGTACACCTGGATGGGGGGCTGGGGGCGAGAGAGCGGGCGGGCGCTGAGAGCGGCCCAGA